AATTCCAAATCATTTTCTAGGATGGGTGGGACAAATTCATGGTTCTACTAATTGTGTATTAATGTGCCTGCTTTCCCATAGCTCTTCCAATATTGACTGTTACTGCCTTTTACCATTTTTGCCAATTTGGTGGATGTTAGATGAAGCTTCAGAGTTGTTTAAATTTCCTTCCAGAGATGCCTCCCTCCTTCCTCAACTGTTTTGCCATTTATAATCAGGACATAATTCATATGGGTTTCAATATTGCCTTACTAGCTGTGTGACCCTGGGCAAGTTGTGTAAGCTCTGTCTGCCTCAGTTTTCTTATCTGTAAAATAGGATAATAATATAGTTGTTGTGAGGATAAAATGAAATAATGTTTCTAAAGAGCTTTGCAAAACCTTAAAGCACTATATAAATGCTAGCTATTAATATTATTAGGAATAATAATGATCACTTTCCTTGGTTTTTCAGCTTTATGATCAAGGTTGACATGAGACATAATGCAGTTGTCTGATGGGTATAGATATTTAACCCACTGTTACACTAAAAAACAAACAAAAAAAAAAACCTCACTTGTTTCTTACTCAAATGTTAGAGGTAGAGTAAGATGTAATTTCAGCCACATCTCATCACTAGTATACTTAGATGGTCATTGGTAACTGACCAAGAACTTGGTAATTTTCACTTTGTATTAAGGGCCTTCTTCCATAAGTCATAAATGTACCATGTGAAAAGTTTCTAATAATTATTTAACAATCATATATTAAGCATTGATCTAATATAGCACTTCATTATTTTGGACTCCACTAGTTTGAAATTTATGATAATTTAGAGATGATAGGAATGGGCCTGATGCTGCTACCCTCTTAGTCCAGATTCGACATTGGGACAAAATGAAGTATTCCTAGATCATAAAATAGTTAACAAAAAGAGGTTGACTTTGACCTAACATAGGTAGGATAAGCAACAAAGATACTATGGCACTTAGTATTTTATAGACCCAGCCCTAATTCCCTCTATTTGAAAATGTGTCTGGTCAGCCACAGGGCAGAATATAGTGACTGGAGTGGTCTTCAGAGGAAGTTGGAGAGGCCTTGCCTCCGTGTGGGTGGGATGTTTTATGCCGATGGCTGACCAAGAAGTCACTTCAGAGCAGCCAGGGGCTGCCAAGGAATCTGCCTCAAGAGAGGCAGGGGTCATTCCAGTCCCAAGGGATGACTCTTTTGCCTTTCAGGGAAAACTAATCCATGGGAGGAGAAAGGAGGCAGCAGGAGGGATGTGGCATGGCTAGCGTGGGCCTAACCCAGGTGGAGTGCCAAGACTAGCCTTGTACTCTGACCTGATCATAAATGGCAAGATAGCCACAAGGTCCCTCTTGGTGAGGAGGTCCTTGGGAGTTGATACAGGGGGGAACTGATGGATACCTGCGAGGTTCCTGAGGAAGGTTCAAGGGGTGGAGGGAATTTCTGAGGTGGGGCTCTCACTCTTCGGCCCCCGTAGGAGTCAGAATTGGAAGATGTCAGGGTGTGAGAAAGTTTGAACACCTGGGTGAAGGGGCAACCTAGCCACATCATGGGAACAATTCATGTTTCCCAGAACCAGACAGAAGCTTTTCTTACTTCTGCTGGGGAGATGAAGGCTTTGAATAGTTCACCTGAGTGGGGCACTGGGCTCTTTTAATGTGTCACCTGGCCCCTTCTCTTCTTACATAGGTATGTGATTGTTTACTCTATAAGCCACTGTAATCTCTGAGTCCAAACATTTATTAAGCACGTGTTGTGTGTTCAGGCAGCTAGGTGGTGCAGTGGATAGAGGGCTGGCCCTGGAGTCAGGAAGACTCCTCTTCCTGAGTTTAAATCTGGCCTCAGACACTTACTTATTATCTGTGTGACCCTGGGCAAGTCACTTCACCCTGTTTGCCTCAATTTCCTCATCTGTCAAATGAGCTGGAGAAGGAAATGGGAAACCACTCCAGTATCTTTGCCAAAAAAGCTCACACAAGTGAAACAGCTGAACAATAACAAGATGTGCCAGCTGCTGTGGAGAAGGGAAGGGAAAGAGTATTTATTAAGCGTCTGCTATGTGCCAGGTACTGTGCTAAGTGTTTTACAGATGTCTTAGTTGATCCTCTCTGCACTTTAAAGAAAAGAGTTTACTAACAGAGTTAGTAATATGAACACATTTGTTTTTTCAAGAGGATATTTAAAATTACTTTTGGGAAGTGTTTTGAAGTGTTGTTAAGTATAGTTCTTGTTCCATTTTTAGCCCAAGGAATGTTTTACTTCTAAACTTTAGTAATTCAAGTCATAAATGGTTTAGGAAAAACATCTTTATTTTTTTCATCTGTTTCTTATAGTCCTAATCTATTTTCAGACCAGAATTAAGCCCGTTTTGGGAGAATAGAAAAAGCCTAATAGATGCCAGTGATATATAGGTACTACATTTAAAATAATAAATGCATTAAAAGATACTTGTGAGGCATGCACTTTGAGGAATTGGGGGATTTGAACTTGGAGTACTGTGATTTGAGTTCAAATTCTTGTTATGCACATTCTACCAGTAAGATATTAGGCATCCCTTAATCTCTCTAAATCTCAGTTCCCTCACCTTTAAGATGATATTGATATTTTTCCTATTGTTTAGATCTTTTATTTGTGTGAAAAGTGTTTTATGATTGTGTTCATATAATTCCTGGGTTCTTCTTGGCAGATAGATTCCCAAGTATTTTCTTACCTTTAAGACTAAGGATGTTGGATAAAATCACTTTTTAGGCCCCTTCAAGCTTTAAATATATGATACTGTGATCCTTCTCTTTCTCTCTCCACTCTTCCTAAACAACATTTTCTGGGGCAGCTAGGTGGCACAGTGGATAGAGCACTGGCCCTGGAGTCAGGAGGACCTGAGTTCAAATCTAACCTCATACACATAACACTTACTAGCTGTGTGACCCTGGGCAGGTCACTTAACCTCATTGCCTAACCAAAAAACAAAAACAAAAAAAACCCCAACATTTCCGTACTGACTAATGATGTCCAGAATTGAAAACTAGGACAGGACATTTGTGCTTTCTAGCAAAGTTCTTATTTTTGAAAATTGTGCTATGTATTGGAGGAAGCAGAGAAGGGAGAAAGGGTGGAAACAAGCCTTTACTGTAACACATTCAACCTGACAACATAAATTCCTAACTTCCATGGAGAATAGAATTTTCTAGCATTAAAGATATGTGTTTATAAATTTTAATGTTAAAAAGTTTCCTTCATTGTGTACTATATTTTTTGTGTCTTAAATGGCTTCCTTCCTTGCCTGCCCTTAGCCTGAAATATCACAAGAACCCATGTATACCTTCATTTCCTGTTAGGATGCTAGACCTTAAGAGTAGAGACCTTAATCTCCATTTGTAGTACAATGCTTTGCACCTAGAATATGCTCAGTAAATGTTTGTTGAAGGTAGAAAGGAAGTACTTTGGGGAGCATGACACATTAAGCCCTATGTAAGCATGATACCCACATTTCCAAAACATTCCTTAATTTTACTCAACATATCCAAAATAGAGTTCATAATTTCCCCTCCTAAAGCTCCATCTCTATCAAACTACACTATTTCTTTGTAGGACACCACTGCCTTCCCAGTCATTTGGGTTTGTGACAAGTCATTTATCTATCCCTTTCTTTCTAGTCACAGCCGTCATCATCATTTGCCTAGACTAATGGGGTTTCCTTCTTCCAGACTCTTATCTCCAATTCATCCTGCCCAATATGGCCAAAATAATTTTCCTAAGGCACATACCTTGCTCAAAAATATTTCATGATGGCATGGTGGCTCTTTTGGACTTCCGTGAGGATGGTGTGACTCCATATATGATTTTCTTTAAGGATGGGTTTAGAAATGGAGAAATGTTAACAAATTCAGCTGATTTCTTTGAATCACCTGTCATCATAACTGGCTGCTGCTTTTTGTCATCCACACTAACACCAGGACTTGGACAAACTTGGGCTGATGTCATCTTGAGCTTTATTCATTTATTTTTGACCTTGATTTATTTGGAGTGGAGGCATTCTTTTTAAAAACATGTCATATAGGTTGTCTAAAATGAAATGCATTTAATCCCCCCAAAAAAAAGTATTTCATGGCTCCCCATTCCCCTTAGGATAAAACAAAAATTCCTCCATTTCTCCTCTTCTCTACCTCTCAGAACCCTTAGCTTCCTTCAAGGTTCAGCTCAGAGGTTATTTCTCTTCTGAAATTTTCCTTATTTCCTCTCAGTTTTTAGTATTCTCTCTTTTCTGAAAATACTTTGTATTTATTTATTTGTATATGAGTTACATTTCATCAATATAATCAACTTTCTGAGAACAGGGGTGCTGACCTGAAATTATGTCTGGCAGGGAAAAAAAATGCTATATTGAAAAAAAAAATAGTTGCCCTAGTATTTTCAACTGGCTTAAACACTATAGAGTCAGTATGCAACCATTTGGATTACTTGTGTAAAAATTGTTTGTAAAGATGTTAAAATAGTTAAAATAGTAATAGCAATAATACTTTAAGGTTTGCAAAGTACTTTATAAATACTATCTGATTTCATCCTCATAACCTCCCTGGGAGGGTTAGTGCTATTGTGTGTGTTTTTATTATCCCCATTTACAGATGAAGAGACTGGGCCAAGGCCACACAGCAAGTGTCTGAGACAGGATTTGAACTAAGGTCTTCCTGATTCCAGAGTCCAGTTCTCTGTCTACTGAGCCAGCTTGGTACCAGGAAGTAGATTTACTGGCCATATTTGTACAGCCACCAAACTTTTACCCCTTTACTCATATGTAAATTAGTATACGTCCGTAATCACTTACTACTGGGTGGACATCAACAACTTTACTGTAATAAATAATCACTGAAATGTCAAGTCAATGGGAGATGCTCCTTCCGTGCAAACATGAATTTTTAGCTACGTGAGGTCAAACTTCAGGCACCATGAGAAATTATGAAACATGTGAGCTCTAAATCATTCAATCTCATCTTCTAGGATTTTTTCCTGGTCAAGTGGAAAACTCAAATTACAGAGTCCAAGGATGAATATTCATCGAGCCAGTGAAGGCGACAGGTCAATATGCCAGGAATCTAGCTACTTAGTGGAAAATATACCAGGTTCATCCCAAGAAAAAGAAGAAAATTGTCTGACATCATCCTGCTTGCAAAATCCTAACCTTCCCGTATGTCCCTGGAATGATGGTATGGTAACAAGGTCTTAATTATCTTGATTTTGGGGACTCTCTGGCACTCAGTGGGGTATCAAGAAGGTCGTTTTAACCTGTGGTCGTGCTAACTGGTAAGAATACAGAATTAAGGCAATTCTCTAAAAAGTTTTGTCCAAATACCTTTTCCCTGAAAGGTACAATTAGCTGAGACACAAGTGATTTTTTTCCCCTACTTGTTTTATGCATTTCTTTGCTACGGTTCTGTGCTTCATTATGCTTATATAAACTTGAACCCAGACAAAAGAAACGACTCTGTAACCTATTTTCTAAAATTAGTGTGCCTCATAGAAAGCTAGGTATGGAGATTATATTGGGGCTCATCAGAAGGAAAGGCTTGGTCTGTGAACCTATGCAGGCCTATTTACCTAATCTGTATTATCTATCCTGCCTGGTCTGAGACCAGAAGAGATCGAAATAATTATTATAGGAGGCCTTAGTTCTCAAGCATGGAGCCATTTTGTATTGATTTTATTAGTGTGGGGCAAGGGGAAGGGAAAGAGTGTAGACTCAAGTGTTATAAAGTCTGAGATTGGTAGTCTGTGCCACTATTTCAGGTGTGAAAATAGATGTTTTGGAATGATCAGTTAGGTGGGGTTTTTTGTTGTTTTTTGCAACATTTGACCCAGTTTTTAAGTTCACCTAGTTATTTTTGGGTGCAAATGAATGGTCTCTTTTAACTCAGAATTCATAGGAGAAGAATTTCTAGGTATATCTTTAATCTAGACACAGCTTCCTTTTATTCTAAGATGTATGAGAAAAGACTCATTCATTCATTCATTTAACACTCAACAAACATTTATTGAGTACCTTCCTGGTGTAAAGCATTTTGCTAGCCAATCAGGATACAAAAGACAAAAAAAAAAAAAAAAAAAGAAACAGCCCCTGTCCTCAAGACTCTTACATTTTACTGGGTTATACAACATCAAATCAATGTATCAAGTATTTATTAAGGATCTATTAAATGCAAGACACTCTGTTAAGTGCTAGAGATACAAAGACAAAATGAAAAGCAGTTTATCTCATCAAGGAGCTTACAGTGGTGTGCAAATTACCTAGCAATAATTTTGATACAGTTTCATTTTGTGACAACACTAGTCAAACTTCTTATTTCTCCTGACAATGGGTTCAAATATCAGGCCTTGACCAGATGAAACCAGATTAAGTTGTTTTCCCCAACTTTAATTGCTTCTCTGTCAGTTGAGTTGTTGATTTCTTGCCATAGACACATTTCATGACTCTTATTCTGTGGTTTTTAAGAATGGAAATGACTCTAAGGATACCTGCAAAAGTTGTAGCTCTTGAAAAAGACACTTCAATGACTGTTAGAGATATTGCACCAGTTTTTGGTATGGAGAAGTCAAGTATTTTAAGAGTCATTCAAGACCACAGTGTAACAAGATAAGTAGCACTCAAGCACAAAAGAAAGAACAGTTAAAAATTAAAAACGATGCCAAGAATTAACAAACTATTGCTGTGAAATAACCTAATTAATACTCAAAAAACAAGCAAAGACCTTTAAAGAGACCTGGCCTTTGGAGCGGTTATTATTGATTCTTCTCCTATGTGGTATAAGCTTCTTGAAGTTTGAAAAATGATAAAAATCCTAGTTTAAAAAAAAAACCCAACCATTGTTATAAAGGAAAAAAAATGCTTCTCATGGTCACAACTATACAAAAACTGAAATAATGAAGATTGGGAAAAGGTAATTTTTACGGATGAAACTCACTTTTTAATTTAAGGCAATACCAAAACTGCTTCAAAACAAACAAACAAACAAACAAACAAACTCTTCACCAGATTAGAATGCAAAACATCCACTCTAAAAATGTTTTAGGGAATTTTTTTTTTACCTCCAGAGGACCTAGAAGTCTAGTCCCCATTGAGAGAATAATGCACTCTTGCTAAATACATTGATATACTGAAAAGAATTGTTCCAGAATTACAGAAATTCTCAAATGGAGGTGGAGTACTACCACTTGAACTTGTATCATTCCACATGTCACAATAGGTGAAGAAATTTTTCCAAGAGATGAAGAAAAACATGCTTTAAGTTGCCTGGGAATTCATCCAATTTAAACTCCATGGAAAATCTATGGGCCATACTCTAGGCTAGAGTTGGAAAAATGAACTCTTTGCCAAAGATATGCTCAATAACCAATATCATGTGTGGTTTCATAATGAAAAAATTAAGGAATCCATGTCAGAATCTTGTAAATTCAGTGCTAAATCACATAAAACAAGTGATTGCACCAAAAAGAAGGTATATTGCATAGTAAAAGTTTTTTTTAAGACATAAAAAGTTGTAAAGTTTATTGTATAAAGTTTAATTATGTAAAATTTTACTTTTGACACAGGTAGTTTGCACATGAATGTAATCCTACTAGGACAATACAACATATAAACAGATAAATATATGCATGCTAATTTAAGCGCAGAGAAGGCACTGATAACTGAGGAAGGGGGTCATCAAGAAAGGTTTTCTATTGGAGGTGACCCATGAACTGAATATTAAGAGGCAGAGATGAAGAGTTAATACAGTCCAGACACCTTTTCAGCAGTGGTATAGAGGTAGGAAATGGAACGTTTATTTTAGGGAATAATACTTTGGCTTGTTTGGCTAGAATGTTGAGGGCCTGAAGGGAAGTAATATGAGATAGTACTCGAAAGATAGTTCTGAGAAAGTGTATGAAGAGCTTTCAGTGCCAACTTGAAGAATTTATATTTTATCCTAGAGGAAACTCTGAAGGTTCTCTCTGAAGCAAAAGAGTAACATGATCAGACTTGTGTTTTTGGAAGATTGTTTTGGCAGCTATGTGGAAGATGAGTTAGAGAGAGGAGAGACTAAAAGCCAAATATCTGATTGATTAGAAGGCTATGGTATATCAAAACCCATGTGAAAAAATGCACTAAATAACTAATAATTAGAGAAATGCAATTAAAGCAACTTGAGGTTCCACTTCCCACACATTAGTTTGGCAAATCAAAAGAGAAAAATGACAGATGTTGGGATGGGCTAGTGCATTGTTGGTGGAGTTGTAAATTGGTCCAAACATTCTGGAAAGCAATTTGGAACTGTGTCCAGAAAGTTACAAACTATGTATTACCCTTTGAACCAACTGTACCACTGTTAGTCCTGTTCCTCAAAGAATAAACACTTCAAAAAGATAACAAAAAAGAAAAAGGACCTAAAAATACAGAAACATTTATAGCAGCTCTTTTCATGATAGATGAAAATGTGAAACTGAAAAACTGTCCTCCTGTTGAGAGATGGCTAAATAAATTGTGGTCTATAAATGAAATTGAATTAATTGTGCTGTAAGAAATGACAAAATGGCCAGTTTCAGAGGGAACAAGGAAGAACTAATGCAAAGAGAAGTGAACAGAATCAGGAGAACATTTTATATAAGTACATTATTGAGAAAAGCAACTTTGAAAGACTTTAGAACTCTGAACTACACAATGATAAAAGCACAAATCTAAAAGAATGAAGATGAAACATACCATTCCCCTCCTGCCAGAGAAGTGATGAACTTAAAATATAGAACAAGACATACATTTTCAAACATGGCCAGTGTGGAAATTTGTTTTGCTGGACTACACATGTTTTATTGCGAGCTTCATTGTTCAGGTTAAAAAAATTTTTTTGACTGAGTGATGGGGGCCAGGGGATGATAGTGAGAGAGATAGATTATTTTTTTTAATGAAGTGAAGGAACCAAAAAAGGGACATTTGATTCAGAGTTTGAATCTCATCAACAAGTAAAGACCAGTTGCTGTGGGAACAAGAATGACTTCAAAAGGCTGAGAATGATACATCCGGTGGTACTTGCTATTCATCACTCCATCTCCTGTCTCTGCTTTCATCCTGGCTAGTCCATTTGCCTGGGAAGCTCTCTCACCTCACCCTTTACACTCCCTGAATTCCTTCAAGACTCAGCTCAAATGTGACATTATGCAGGAGGTCTTTCCTGGTTTCCCCACCTGCTATTTCTTCACCTTTAAGGTTACGTTGTATCTGTAAGCATCTTGAATATAACTGTTTATGTACATGTTGTCTACCCCATTAGAATATAAGCTCCTTGAGGGCAGAGACTATTTCATTTTTACTCTATATCCTCAGCACTTAGCATAATTCCTGGCATGTAGTAAGTGCTTAATAAATACCTGCTGATTGATTAATTATATGAGTAGAAAGAAAGTGACAGATGTGAGATATGTTGTGGAGAAAGAGTTGAGGGGCAGCTGGGTGGTGCAGTGAATAGAGCACCAGCTCTAAAGTCAGGAGGATCTGAGTTCAAATCTGGCCTCAGACTAAACACTTGACACTTACTAGCTGTGTGACCCTGGGCAAGTCACTTAACTCCAATTGCTTAAAAAAAAAAGGAAAGAAAAAAAAGAGAAAGAGTTGAAAGGACTTAGCAATTGACTGGATATGGGGGTGGTGAGGGAGAAGGAATCATTGAAGATGACTTTGAGGTTTTGAACCTGGCTGACTAGTAGTGTGTTGGTGACCAGTCAGATTAGGAAAATTTGGAGGAGGGATGAGCTTTGATGAAAAGATAATAAGTTGTGTTTTTGATGTGTTAAGTTTAAGATGCCCATGGAACATTAGTTTCAGATCTCCAGTTGGTGATGTGGGACTGGAGATCAGGAGAGAGACTAGGGCTGAATAGTAAGAGTTTAGAGTCATCTGGATAAAGGTGAAAATTGGGAGCTGATGAGGTAATCAAATGAGAAAGTAGAGAGAAAAAGGAGAGATCTCAGAACGGACAGGCTTTGGAATTAGGAGGCAGGACGTGGATGATAATTTAATGAAAGACTGAGTAGGAGTGGATAGACAGGTAGGACTTGTATTCAGATAAGTAAATATCAGATAATTTGGAGAGAGAAAAAGGGCATTAATTACAGAAGGGATAAAGAATGGTTTCACAGAGATGACACTTGACCTTAAAGGGAATGAAAAGTTCTATAGGGG